ATCCCAATGGCAGAGGAAACCCAGACTACCCAGTCAGCCATGCGAGGTCTTGTCCAGCATTCCTGCATTCCTGCTACCAGCAGCAATTGCAGGTGACTTGACTTGCAGCTGTGAGGAAGGGGAGCCACTTGGAGAGCTCCAGCAAGGGACACGGGGAGGGGGAAACCTAGCATACTGAAGCTGGACGGTGGGCAGACTGATGGAAAGGGAAGGGGAGGGGGATATCATTAGTGGATTTTCTTTGGGGTAGATAAAGGGATACATGGAACTGAAGGCTTCATTTAAATTTTAAATTTGGGGTTGAGAGAGAGGGGAGGTGATCAGTAATTTATCCAGGACTTTTCACTTTACTGCTGACTGAGGTGGAAAGTTTTTGAAGCCACCTTCTCTGGCAGCTCATCATCAGAAATGGCAGAAATCCATGACTGGTTTCTCTGATTCTTCCAGTTTTTCTGTGGCAGGGAGAATAGTTCTGATGGCTTTCCACTTTATCAGCAAGATTACTTGCTCTCCAAGGCACTATGATGGCTTGCTTTGCTGCCTCACATGCACCGATCTCCTCCCCCAAAGCGGTTTTATCAGTTTTAAATCAAACACTATATACTGTGCTACCTTTGCATCTTGAAATCTCCTTTAGTTAAAATCATTTAAAAATCTCTATTATAGCAAATGCACCTTTTCATTAAAGCCCCTTTCATAAAGTGTCTGAGCCTGAACATTTTACTGCTTTTTAACAAGAGTCTGAATAAATGCATTCCTTGTATTCCTAATCTCTTCATTTTCAAGGATATTTGTGAAGAGACAGGGCCTTTCTTTGTTTGTTAAGAATTTGCTTGCTACTGCTGCTTATCACTCAGGACTGGTTTCTTATATCCTTACTTAGTGGTAAAGCAGGTACCTGAGTAAAACCCTCATTGAAATCAGACGGTTCTGCCTGCATAAAGACTAGGGGACAGCACAGTAAACATGGGAATACAGAACTGGAGGGGGCCTTCTGGGTTGGCAAGTCTAGTCCCACGCATTCAGAGGCAACTAGTGACCCAAGGACTCCCCAAAATCACCACTTCAAACCCTAGCATGTGACAAGGCACAAAACCAGAAATTGCACCACCGCCATAGGTCAGAATAGGAGATGAGAGCACTGCAAAGTAGTAGCTTTGAGATTTGGCCCAACCCACTGTTGCACTGAGTTACTTCATACTGAATGTGTCTACACGAGACTAATCTACTGTGCAGTGAAGCATCACTGTCTGCACATGTGCACTGCCTATCTGTGTCCTGTCATGGAGCCAGGAGCTGAGCAGAGGGTAGCTTTCTGTCCCCCCAGTCCCAGTGCTGCTCAGCTCCTGGACAGGGCACATGTGTAGCCGGTGTGCACGCGTAGATGATGATGGTTTACTATGCAGTAGATTAGTTTACTGTGCAGTGATGTGTCTCGTGCAGACACACCCAATATCAAGCAAAGCAGTGTGACACTAGGTTGGGCCAAATCTCAAAGCTACTACTTTAGACCTGTGGGGGGCTGGGAACCAAGCCACACTGGGACTGGGGAGCCCTCTGTCCCAGAAGCAGAACAGCTCCTGGCCAGCCCCGGGCTACATGGAGAAGCTCTGATGGGCACGGGGCTTGTCTCCATGTGCACAGGGCCAGAAGAGGTTTGCAGCAGCAGCTGTTTCCCAGCCCTGTGCACATCAGGACCCCTTCCAATGTGTACAGGGTAAGGAGACAGCTGCTGCTGCAGCCAGCAGAGCTCTCCTAGCCTTGTGTGCATGGGGACCAGCCCCACACTCCCAGCCGCCAGCTAGCACCCTGGGGAGCCTGGAGCTGCTGCAGGGGGCCAGAGTAGGATAGGAACAGTTCTGTACTGGGACATTCCTACTGGGAGCAGATTTGCTCCCAACAGGGAGCACGTGTAGATATGCTCCCAGGGAAAGCTTACTGCCAGTGTTTTACTGCACAGTAAGCCTTTATAGCATTAACAGCATGTGTAGACATGCCCACTGTTGTTGTTTATGTGTACTGTAGTAACAAGAATGAGCTCTTGTTATGGCTCAAGATCCCACTGGGCTAGGTGTTGTACAACCACAAAACCCAAAAAGCTTAGTAGAAGAAGTAAAAACAAAGGCTGGTGTGAGGCCCTATGTATTTATTTTGGATACTGTCTTCTATTCTACTCAGGAGAGCACACTCATCACCGGCAGACTCTCCCTACGCCTGAAGAGAAAGGTCTTTGTGCCGGAAGCATGCAAAGATCAATTTTTTCACCTATTTAGTTGGTCTAATAAAAGCTATCACATCTACCCAAAGAACTGTGTCAGCCTAGGCCCTATGTATTGCTTCTTTAGAACAGGAAGCCAGTTTGGAGGGGAGCTGGGAGAGGTTTCAAGCAGAAGCCAAATGGAGACAGAGAAGTGTGAAGATCTTTTTTTCAGGAAATGTCCTTCCTCAGTATTGGAAAAGAAAACATGCCTCTTTGGGGGATTTTCCCTACTACTGAGGTGACACGGGAGTGATATAAAAGAGAATGGTTGCCTCAAGAAGATGAGGCAGGGAAGCAGTCACAACAGACAGAAAGCAGCGCAAAGGGAAAAACTAGTCAATAATGTACTTCTAGAGCCTAAAGTGCATTAAACATGGTCTGTTCACATCTTGTGCGGAGACAAAAGGTGCAAATGAAGTGCCCTGTCTAGCTTGCTTGGTGGGGTTTGTTTTAAAGTGCTTTTGGTATGTTTGTGAAAATGAGCAAAACATTGCCAGGAACATTAAGAGACTTCAGAACAAAGAAAGCAGAGCAGCATTACTTTGGGTGAAGAAGTATAGGTTTGGTAGATGCACATGAATCAGCACTCACCCATCTGCTGCCCTGGTCTACAATTACTGTTTTCCCCTGTGGAATTATGTAGTAGACATCTACAGCTAAATTTTCAACAGCAGCCTCTACAAATTCTCTCATTTTACAAATATTAGAACAGAGATCTCTAGCTCCTCAGGTATCCATGCATATCCTGCTAGCTGGCTAAATAGTATCATTGGCATCCCAAATGAATTGTCTGGTGCAATACTTGTTCAATTTTCATGGCTGTATTGAAGCTTTTTAAAAAAATGATGCCGAAGGCCACTAGCCAAGTTTAGATGCAAACCCCTTTGAAAGAAGTGCAGTCTTCATACAGTCTATTTAAGATAGGAGTGTGGTCAGGCCCTTCTTCCAGTGAAAAGGAGTATGGTCACAAATGCTGTAACGAATGTACACTGGGCTGCATTCTGTGCTGGTACGGTATGCTAAACCTTTCAATACAAGTGTTAAAAGAGGCCAATAACAGACACAATGAGCCACCATGGCCAGAAGGTGGCATTAGCCACATTATATTTTTGATATTCAGAACTGCACCCAGCCTACATGCAGTTGCTTTCCTGAATCCCCAACACTACCTTTGTCTTTAGTTTTCAACCATGCACTATTACAATTCCTAATCCAAAACATTTGGGGATGGAGGGAGGATTACTACAAATTGATCACACAGTAAAGCTGACTGCAAATCCTCATGCAATTGTATTAATTCTACCTGAAAGCAAAGATTGAGCATATCTTACGTCCATGTCTTAATAAGAAAGATGCATGCTAAATAATAAACAAATGCTCCTTCCAAGTCCCTCCCTACTCCCTACTTGAACAATAAGAGTCCCAAAACAGCAGCCAGCCACCTTCTAGTAAGAAAGACTTGTATGGTGGCATCCCAAAAGCCTGCTCAGGAATGGCTAAAGGTACATGCATGCGCACACACTCGCTCACTCACACATGCACGCACATACACACACCGCTACATCACTGCCTATGATGCGAGTAAGCTTGGGTATCTGGCCTTTCAAACTGCATCTCCTTTGTGGCAGTGCAGAATGCCTATATCACTGAGCTGGCTCAAGACCTTTATTCTTAACAAGATTAATTTGTAATTGCTTTAAGCCTAATTAAAATTAAGATCATATTAGAGGTTTGTTATCACACAAGATCATTCACACAGAGATTATAAATTGAAATACTAGGGTTTGGTACAAGGGATAATGCTACGCTGCATGAACTTGCAGTTCTGCAGGTATTAAAAATTAGTAATTTAGCACCCAGAAAAGAAGAACATGACACTACCACCTTGAGGAGGGCAAGTGGCCAAACCATTCATCCCATTTTTGGCACAAACCTAGTGTAAAGCACTAATACCCTGTGCCATACAGTAAAATTACTTCGAAAAGCTCTCAAAACTCCATTTGGAAGATCACTTTACAAGGGCGTACACTGCTGAAACAAAAGAACGCAAGTAAATCGAGGTGGGATAGTGCTAAGCAAAGAGATCAGGACCCAATACACCTGAGCTCCATTTCAGTTCTGTCCCTGATTAGTCACTTATGACCTAACTTTCAAAGACTGACTTCTCAGTGCCCCTCTCAGTGAGACAGAGCTAATAATGTTCCTACGCCCTTGCACAGTGCTCTGGAGTCTTGGGAAGACGTGCACGCTATGTGCACGCATCATTATTATAAATACTCTCCCATTAAAGCAACAAGTTGGGCAAATGTTCCATAGTGAAGGTTATTCCTCACCCTCCAAATATAAATGAGTTCTGCTGCTGGCTCTCTGTGCTCATTAATCAAGGACATTTTATGCCACATCCTGGTTTCAGGGTTAGAATACTGTGCTGAAAAGTTTTTAAGCAACTTTTTAAAGCAAGGATCTAGAGATGCCTGCATGAGCTATTAAGAAACCAGGCAGTCTTATGAGCTAATTCTCCAAGTGCATGTAGTTTTTTTTCAAAAGGCTGAGCAAAAAGTGAGCAAAGCAAACTGTATTTCAAAAGGAATTAGCAAAGCAAAGTTTGATATCCAGCAAACTACTCGATGCAGAGGAGATAGCAAGGAGGAAAGAACGCCCCAGCAGTCTTGCTGTTTATGCAATGCAGACTCTTTACTAAAATTTCCAAAGAAATGTAAGGTTTAAATGTGGGTGGTACCTGGCCTGGACTGAGAGTAACCACATGGGGCTTTGCTTTCTTAAACAGAGGAAAGCGTTTCAGATCAGGATTGACAACACTGACTTTGCTGAATACGCTGGATTCCTCATAAGGGATCCTGGTGGGATAAAGGGAACAGGCATCGCTGGGTGGGAAAAGGTGCCATCTTTTCCTGAAAGTAGAGAGAAGATAAAAGTGGGTTCAGTGCAGGCTAGTTACAGTGGGTGACTAAAGGCAATAGTGAGGTTCTCAATAAAACATAAATCTGCTTTGCTGTTTCAGTCTTCTACACAGTCAGAATACTGGCAAGTCTTGCTAAAAATGATTTAAAATATTCTGCAGATGTTTAACTCAAAGATTTGAGGCTTCTAACCAATTATTTTTGCATGGAGGCTATGCAGTTCTTCCATCTGGCTCCTCCTCGTTTTATCAAACTATGTGTAGCATCTACAGGTGGACCTACAGTGTTAGCAAATTCTGATGTTTCTCTTATAAATCCACCAAACCTGTACTGGGATTAGGTTTTCATTAGGTAAATATATTCTTGTTCATTAATGTATGCAAGACCCCTGCTTGCTCTAAGTAGACAGCACAGTACACGTACAATACGGGTAGCAATAGCAGCGCAGTTGGGAGATGTTTTTATTTGCATTTCTTACTTTGGTATGTGAGTCAGGGAAACATAATTCTTATTTAAATCTCTTGATTCAGGACAACCTGGGGCTCATTTGCTATTGTTATCAGCATGAGGATTTGATGGTGTCCCTGTCTTTCCTGTTCTCTTCTTGTAGCACATAATAAATGTGCCTGTAGTTTTTGCAGTAAAGAGCCTAACTTACGGGCTGCTTTGTGGCCGTGGTGTGTAGGAGGGGACATGGTCCCCAGCAGGGGATTAGGCTTGATGACCTGTGTTCCTACAAGTATAATGGATAAAAACATGCCCCCTTGGTAGAGAGCTGATTAGCTGCTAGATCTAAACTATTTTTTTAATTTTCAGTGTAATAGGCTGAGCGAGTGTGTCATAACCCATCTTGTATGTAGTCTACAAAGTGGGTAACAACCTGCTACTGCTACTAGCTAACAAGTCTAACACCTAACACAAGTAATAGAGCGCTATGTTTTGGAGATCAGATGTGCACATTCTGGTAATAAGGGAATGGCTTCGTGTTACCAAGCCATGCAGCACATAAGAGATGTTAACTCCTAAGCACAGGATCTACGCAGCTACTTAGATAATATACACTGCATTGAAAACTGGCTTCTCCAGAACACAAGGTGTCAGGTTTATGTACACTATAAATAAAACTCTTTGCCAGTTGTTTTCTGGGCATATATTTTTCCAAAATGCTGAATGGCTAATATACAAGGCAAAGTAAACAAACATATAAATAACCGTTTTATGAGAAAAATATGTTAAATGATGGGAACAACCAGAGCAGGAATAATTAAAATCACATCCAAAAAGCTAGATTTATGGCATTTAAGACTAGCTATATAATCAACACTGCAGTGACCTATGCATTTACCAATACCTTCTATTAGAAAAGAGGAAGCCCTTTCAATCCAGGTTAGAATGACCTATGCTGCTTTCCTCCTTTGTAGACTCAGGCCGCTTCCTTGCTTATTTTCATGCTACTCAGTTCTTGCTACTTCATCTAGCATTGCTGACTGTCAGTTCTGAGTCACAGAACTGAAAGTGAGGGGCAAAGGGATCTGAGGCAGAAAAACAGGATGGATGAACAGAGTAGGCAGACCTGCAGAGATCAGCGTAGCTGGGGGTGGCATGGCCTGCTGACTTAGGAGAGATAACAGAAGCTACTGGCATCAGAAAATTTGGGGGATAAGCAGTTTACCCAAAAGTCCAACATCCATTATAAGAATAATTTTCGCAGCCACAGGGCCACACAAAGGGACAGGAAAATGGCTTGCTTAGAAAGCCTCGGAGGCTCCAGGCTAAGTTCCATGCAGGGAGCTAGGTTGTAACTGTGCTGGTCTAAGGACATAGGCAGACAAGATTCTTTGGGTAAATCTGATATCGGATTTACCCAAAGGACCTTGTTTACATAGGGAAGAAAGGGTTTAAACCCCTAGTATCACAATAACATTTCAAGGAGCTAGACCAGTAATTCTCAGCCAGAATGCCATAGCTCCCTGGTGTGCCTTGAGGTCCTAAGGTACCAAACAATGCTACCACTCTTAGTCTTGTAAACATGATCAACAAGATAAACCCAGAGATTTCAAACAGAACTCCATAGTTGAATCACAGAATCATAAAAATGAGGGTTGGAAGGGACCTCAGGAGGTCACATCTAGTCCATCCCCCCGATGGTGCCCCAAAGCAGGACTATCCCCAAACAGATCATTCTAGCCAAGGCTTTGTTGAGCCAGGCCTTAAAAACCTCCAGGATCCCACCACTTCTCTAGGTAACTCATGCCAGTGTTTCACCACCCTCCTAGTGAGTCTGTCCTAATATCCAACCTAAACTTCCCTCGCTGCAACATGAGCCTATTGTTCCTTGTTCTGTCATCTGCCCCCACTGAGAACAGTTTAGCTCCATCCTCTTTGTAACCACACTTCAGTTGGGGTCTTCCTGAGTTCTTTGCAACAGAAAAGCTGCACTATGTTTTTTCTGTAGACAAAAGAAAAAGAGTAAAAGCTGAGAGCTGGCATTTTCTGAGGGGTGCTTCAAGTCTACCTGGCATGCCTCAAGTCTAAAAAGGTTAAGAACCACTAAGTTAAACTGATCAGGGCTTGTGGTAGAAATGATATCCTTTGTTAGACCAACAAGATTTTTGCAAAAAAAAATTCTTTAATTGCAAGCTTTTAATTGTAATTAAAAACATTTTTTTTGCAAAAATCTTGTTGATCTAAGAAAAGATATCACCTCTACCACAAGCCCTGATTGCTTTTTCCCCTAGACCAATATGGCTTCAACCTGAATACCTGATGCTAAGTTAAAGTGACATGCTTAGGAGGAAATGCAAGCAGCTAAACAACTGCATTGGAGACGCAAGACAGTTAACATTTGGGTGGTAAAAGCTGGGCTGTGGGTCAACTTGTGTAATGCATTTCCTTTCTCTCTGCTCTGAAGAGGCAAGGGAGTCACAACCCTGGGTGGCTGTGTAGTCTGCCTAAAGAGCTGGACTTCACTTATTCTCAAGAGGCAAAAAACTGTTTCCAGGCCTTGAAAAGGGGCTTAGACTTGTTCAGTCCTAGCAGGGGAGAGTCAGGCAAACAGAACTAGGATCTGTGTTTGACCAGAGTGGGGAGAAGGCAGACACATTTGAGGCACAAAACTGGGCTTCTGCCTGAGGATCATGGTCTAAGCCTGGAAATCAGCAGTGCAGAATGAGCACAGGGACTGCTAGGAGATCACCCCTTGCTAGAGGGGCAAGTGCTTCCCCCCACCCCCTCTGCTCTGCTGCAGCCCCAGTGCCCGGACAGCTTTCCCCAGCGCCAGCAGGGACCCACCCGCCTCAAACACCCATCCCCTCTGCACACCTCTGCCACACACACACACATGCCCCACACAGCCCCCCAAGACAGTCCCAAGCCCTGGGCCTCCAATCCCCACTCCCCATAGACTTGCACGCATCCAGCTGCCAGGGCTGCTCCTACCACCCTTCCTGGCTGCATGCCGGCCATGTACGTACATGTGTGTGGGCACACATGCACATGGTACCCCCTACCTCCAACTGCCCTCCCCTCGCTCCCCCCCAACCCCAAGAAGCTTCTTGTTAGGGCAAGCTGGGAAGTGCTGGGAAAAACTTTGATGCTGAGCAGACCAAAATCCTAGACATTTGTTCATATTCTAAAAATCACCCAGACAGAGATCAGAGGACCCTAAAAGAGAACATGTCCAGGAAAACCCGGATGTATAGTAACCCTAAGTACATTTAGGTCTTTTTTTCCCCACCTGTACTGTCCAGTGGAAAGCCTGAAGCAAGTACATGCAAGCTGCTTCGTTATACAACTTTCATGGAATTATTTTAAAAGAAACTGAACAAATACTTTAGAAAAGAAAGAGAAGAATTGCAGGAACTTTGCAAACAGGTAGGAAGAAAGAGCAACAAAACCAGGCCCCAAATAAGAGTATCAAGCGTCAAGTGTCCACTTTACCTTTCCTCACAGCTGACTGCTTCTGTCCTAACGTTTCTTTTCTAAATTAATTCCAGCAGGCCATTTAGAAGCTTTAGAACACAGAATATCTTAAAGCTCAGTGTAGTCTATTTCCATTTTATTTCTTTAATCCGTTTCAAGCTGTAGACAAACATATCATTTAACGGCTTGAAGGAGAAAGAGGAAGCTGCCATTCAGCTCTTAGGGTATAACAACAGCATCTTCCTGTTTGTGGAGCCACACAAGTTAGCTAAATCGCTGTCACTTTAATTCTGGATGAAACAGGACTGAAGTTGTTGCTACAGATGCATGCAGATGTAGCCGTTACATCCTGACAGCAGTTACATGCAGCTTATATCTGTACCATTTGCGCCTGTCTATATTCCTACCTTTGCAATTCCAATTTGCTCAGCTCAGCCAGAGAGATTATAAAATAAGTGTTTATTTTTAGGTGACTAAAATATGTGTAAATACTAGGTAAACAGAGACATTGTATTATATGCATCTAATCATCAGGTCAACAAAGCAAAGAAGGAAATATGAATTAAGCACTCTCCCTTCAGGCAAAGCTCAGTCCCCAAACCTGTGGTCATAAAGAAAAACCTTCTCTTGGGTCACTGAAGACTTGAGAGAATTAAAATATTCCAAGAGCTAGAAGTGAAAGTATTTAATGGCCGGGGCATGGGGAGAACTCCCCGTGGAGATTCAGCCAACACACACACACATTTCTTGTTACCTTCCTTGTACTTGCAACACCAAATTGCAGCCATAGGAGTCCAAATGACAAGGAGTGTTTGCTCCCACTGAGCCAATCCACAGTGTGCTCTCCCTTCCATTTCTCCCGGGGAAACCAAAGTCAGACCATATTACATCCTGTTGGGAAGGGAGTGCAGAGAAAGTTATTAATGTAAACAACCACATCTGTCTGACACCCCGATTTCCTTTGACTCTTGGGTCCTGTACTTGTAGGGTCTTCCCCCCAACCCCACCCAAAATGACCTTTTTCTCCTTTTGCTGCTTATCTTATTTCACTGTGGGTAGAAACAGATATCACCTTTCCTCACCTTTGTGCTGTGAAGCAAACAGATATCCAAGCCCCTTGTCACACCACAATTGCTCAGAATCTGTAGCCATGCCTTAGGGTGGAAATGCAGGACAAGGGGCAACGCACTATATGGGACAAGGGGCAACATGTGTTGCCCAATAAAGCACATCAGCTGTGGTGGATCTGTTTGAGTTTGGCAACATCTGTTTCTACTCTCTGGGAGTACACGTGCACATTTGTTACGCAGTAACCTAAATTACTGCATAATAACTAAAAATTACTGCATGTGCACACCCATACTGCGCAATAACTGTGGTGACTTACGCTGACTTGGGCATAAATTGGATACCTGCATGATGCAGGTGCCAAATTTACACCAAATGAGTTACTGCACAGTAATGCACGTGTAGATGCCTTACTGTGGAGTAAAACTGTGTGTGTGAACTGACTTGGGACTAACTGTAGTCCCAAGTCAGACCACACACAGCGTTAATGCGATTTAATGCCTGCACATGTAGACGCTGGCCTATTTCCACTTACTGCACAGTAACTTACTTCACAGTAAATAGAATGCAACGTAAATGCATGTGGAAACGTGCCCCCTGTGTAGAGATTCCATAAGTCTGTCCCTGGCCAGTCCTTTTCCTCTAAAGTCTTATCTGTAGGTGGCATCCTCTGTTCTCTTAGTCCATCTATCCCAAAATCTCTCCTCGTGTTTGCTCTATCCTCATATCTCAATGTGAAGAGACCCTCCTGAATGTCCCACTGCCTGCCCTAGTTCTTTTCCAAATTTTGCTTTCTTATCTCAACCTAACAATTCCTGGCTGAAAAGATGGGGAGAGCTGAAATTCTCATATAAGAAAGGAACAATATTTCCATTCAAAATGTCATCCTTCTTTTCAACCAGTTCAGTGATCTGTGGCTTTCTTCCTCTTTTTCTCCCTCAACATCATGTCACTGCTTCCCCCAATGTTATGTAAATTTAACCCTTCCCCTTGCTCTAATCCAGTGGCTAAAGTTTTGGGTCATTTCCACCCTTGAGTTCTGTAAGCTTTCTCTTGCGTGATGAGGCAAACTGCGATCTGCCTCTGCAGTTGTGGAAGGGTCTTTGGCAGCGATCTCAGTGCAGTTCTGCTGTCAAGGGAGAAAGGCCCAGGAGAAAGGCATAACTACAGATGAAGTGGTAGAGGAATCCACCAGTGTAAGGGTCTTCCCATCTACTTTCCTCTAGTGTGAGAGCCAAGGATATGCATTGGACTTCAGAGGCATCTTCAGATTGCTTCTAACTAAATTTGCATAAAGGATTTCCACCCACCCCATGCCCACCTTGGACCCTTCAGACAGTTTCTGGGCAGAGGATTTTGCTATTAGAAAATATTTAATGTAAACTAACCTAAAATAGTGTGACCTAAAGGACAGTGCTTCAGACTGGGACTCAGAACACCTGGGTTCATACCTAGCTCTACCACTATTGAATAGTCTTGGGTAAATCACTTGACCTTTGTACCTCAATCTTTCCATCTTTAAAACGGGGATAACCCTACCTGCCTGCTTTGTAAACCCCCTGGGTTGCTAGAGCTGAAAAACACTATAGCTAGGCATTATTACAACCATGATCATGCCATGACTCAATAGTATGGCACCCTCAAAGCGAATCCAATAGGAGTGAGGTCTTGCTACGGATATTTGATTTCAAAATTACAGATTTCAAAAATATCATTTTGCAGGAGGCAGAAAGCAAAAGGCTAAATGTACACATTTATCAAAAGCAGCAAGAAATCAAAAAAGGAAAAAGTCACTCATGGATTTCAGCAGTCATTACATTTAAAATCCAATACAAGTATTTCAGTGATAAAGTTAAGTGTAATACCACTGCTACACTTTAATCTCACACCTAAATAGTTTTTGTATTTTGTTACAATTTAAGTGGAAAGAAAGCACACATAATCAATATAAGATTTAAAAGAACTTTTTCAAAATGCTGCAGCAGTAGTAAATACTTGAAGCGATTATGGGTAAAATAGTTTTTAACCAATGAACTGAAAAGAAACTGGTAGGATTACTGAAATCTTGGCACAATGGGCTTCTTTTCTACAATAAAAAATCCACAGCATAAAGAAATGCACTTAAAAGGTATTCCAACCATAGCAGATGGCACATTACTTGTGAATTACATTTATTTCGTTTGCTGCTTATAATGAAGTTAATCCATACCCGTATGTCACTCTAAAAGGTCTCATTTCTATTTAAACTTCATGCATATATCTTGCTCCTGATTTATTTCTCAAATTCTGTAATGAAATATCAACTGAACAAAAAATGTAAGATGCTAGATACTGCTCACAGATTAGAATAATGGAATCATTACCTTAACCCACACAACTGTAAATGATAAACAGTGCAATCTAAATTTCAAACAACTTCTGAATGGCCCTATTAATCACTATAAATAACAGTGCAGTTGGCCTTCTTTTCCCCTTCAAGTCACCTTAGGTAAATCGAACTAAAATCTAAATGGGAAAAAGTGGTTAACATCAAATTTACAGGAGAACAGGGAAAAATTTCTCCAGAGAGTTGTTTTGCCTGGTGCAAACGGTGCAGCAGTGCATGGAAGTCCTCGCAAGTTCAGAACTGACTGCAAAAATTCATTCCCGTGCCAGCATAATCAGTGTATGAAATGTAGGTAAGATCCCCAGGCCCCTAATTACATGCTTGTGTGGGTGGAATGCCGGTTGCTTCCTTCACAAGCATTTTCTTATTGACCCAGTAAAACAGTAGGTTAGGTTGATGTGCTGCACATGGATATTTTATATACTCCTAATAATCTTATACCATAGACTAAGGGATTCTGCTGAAGGCAAGTATAGATCAGACTGAGAGGCCCAAAATTAGAAAAAGTCATGCAGAGACTGGGAGAGCTTGAAATGGTGCTGGAACTTCAAATTTAGCATAACCAGCAAGAATTCATTTTGTGAACAAATGCTGGTATTGCTGAGTTAGCACCCCAACTTTTATAACTGTGCTGCCTATGTTATACGAAGTGTTGGCAATGTGTTCAACCTCCTGCAGATCCCTTGGCTGTTATAGTTTTTAAATAGCCACAGTATATTTAAATAGAGGGCTGAAATGAAAAAAGACTACAACATGCAAAGCCACACACCTGGTGACTAACAACAAACCAGTCTGTGCTGTAGACTAGTGGCACTTCTACACATGCTGTGTTGTTTAGGTACGTGTCACAAAACAACACCAAAAATCGCTGTTTCACTAGGTTAGTCATGTATGAATATACACATTGACATCTTTTTATCGTGGTAGATGTTGATTTATTGTGGTTAATTAGACCACCTCCAACTTGTTTTATTTTTAGTGTGGCCAATTGTTCCAGCAGGATTATTTTTATTGTGAAAGTTTTGTGATGTGTAAGTTGAGCAGTTGGAGATGACTGAGGTGGAGAAAGACCAGGGTATCCAAGTTGAACACAGCATCGCCACAAACTCCCAGAGTGCTGCAGCAATGAGAAAGGCAAATGCAATTCCACCACGATATTTTCAGTGGAGATAAGGGAAGAATTGTACACGGCCCAGTCAAGGCCTCATCTGGAATACTGCGTACAATGCCTATCACCCAGGTTCAAGAAAGATGATTTGAAAATGAAACCGGGAAGGGCTACTAGGATGATCAGGGAGACTTACAGCAAGCAACTAGGGGAGTTTGGCTTATTCAGTGCAGAAAACAAAGACCGGTAGGGGATAGGGTAGATGTCTGAAAATACATCGGGGTAAACAGCAGGCATGGAAAAGTGCTTTTCAAGCTAACTGGTGATATTAAAACTGAAAAAAAAATCAATGCAGTTAGGTGGGAAATTGGAACAAGTTTTGTAACCATTAGCAAAATCAGATTCTGGAGCAGCTTTTCAATGGAAATAGAGGGGGCAAAATAATTTATCTGCTTTTAAAGTAGAACTTGATAAATTTGTGACGTCGAAATGAACCCCAGGATACAGGAGGTACCTTTTAGTCTGATGCTCCTAGGTCAAGGGCACCCAGACCTTTAGCTGGATGTTATTTGCAATGAGATTTCTGTTAGAAAAACCTTTACATAGATATCCAATAAAGCTTTAAAGCACGAAAAGGAAGAGGGGAGGGGGGACGTTGCACTGGTTTTGAAAGCTATAATAAATCACTCAATGATTAGCCAAGACATTCAGGAATTTTTTCCTGCTTGTTTTGAGTCAAAAGTAATAATCTAGTAACAGGTAAAGTTAATGGTCTACCTGGAAAACTTCTGTTTTGTCTTCAAATATCTTAGCTATATACTTGTAGTCAGCATAAGCCCAGTATTTGCAGGAATCATAACAACTGAATGGTCCGGAGAAGCAAGATGACAGTCCAGAACTCCAGGCCAAAAACTCTTCAAGTGTAGCCTGCACATAGCTGCACTCGGTTTCAAACTGAGGAGCTAGAACAATACAAGAAAAGAAACCATTACATGCATACTGAATAGATACAATAAAAACAGACATAGGGCTAGGTAGTTTCTCTGTCAACTCAGACCACTGGCTAAATGCAATATGCAATCCACAGCCAATTTAGCTCTGTCGACTCGCACAGCTACACATCTGAAAACTGCTGAAATTGCCAAATGTATGAGTTAGCACAATTAACAGGCTTATTTTACTTCGTTCCTCTTATTAAAAGTAAACTGCTAACACAAATACCCCCCCCACAAACACTCATATACACCCTGTATGTCCCGTATTGGCTCCTTTGGTTTATGGAGGTGGACTCTTCCATTTTTTTTACTTCTCAAAGAGCATAACTGAATCAGCAGAGTTATTCCTAGGAAGCAAATTCTGGAGCAATACCCATGCCCTAAACCCCACCTAAGAGGCAAAGTCTCTATTTTTCAGTAATTGAAAGAAACATCTGGAAATGTACCTTGCCAGACAAAAGATTCATTCAGGTTATACCCCAGAATGAAGAAAGTTTTCTTTCCTCAAGAACAGACAGATAAGAGAGAGATTTTTATATATAGCAATCTTCTGATATCCTACCATGACAAAGTATTTAAAGTATTTCCAGAAATGGAAATCAACTCTCCAAGTTGAATTCATTGAAGTTGACAGACTGGGTTGTTTGAAAATTCAATGGAAAAATGCTCAGTTGTCTAAGTCTGTTTGGGAAATATTTTCAAACTTTGTTCTGAATGTAAAGTATGCCACAAAGACCCGTGCTCTAAACATCCAAAGGATCTTCCTTGTCTCGCATTAAAAGGGGAAAACAGGGCTTATCAAGCCAGATGTAGATAATCTGATAAGAAACTTGGCGTTCCCCAAATCAAGTATTACAGATAATCCAAATAGGCTAATTTAGAGTGAAAATCAACATATACAAACAAAGTCGGAGTATAATGGGTATCCAGTCCCAAACCCGAGGCTTGCTTCAGTACAGCTTTTCTGTGGTTTACTCCCCAACCTTAAGTTTGACAGGACCTCTGCAGTTCATACCCAGGGGTTTTGGGCACTAGCTCTGTGCAAGCGGGGAGACACGGGCATTGTCCTGAACGCTCGGCCTCACACAAGCATAGGCAGAGCACATCCAAGCTACCTGCCCAGCACAGAGGTCCCCTGCACAACTACTCTGCCATGTGCATGCACCTTGTGCAGGAGTATCATGGGAGCCCCATGACACAAACAGTCTTGACTGTGCTCTCTACTACGGGGCAAATTTTATCTGTAGAGTGGGATTTTCAAAAGCACTCAGTGTTGGCTTAACTCTAGTCCCAGGAAGGTCAATGGGAGCAATTACCATGGGCTTCAATAGGACTATAGGTAGGGCGCTATGGAGAAGCCCTGAAAAATTTGCCCTTATCAAAAAAGAATGAAAAATAAAACCAGAGGGTAGGATCGTTAGTGCTATTCTGTTACATTTTCATCATCAGTTCTGTTGACTACACCATAAAACATGCCAATAGAGCAGTCAAGTCTTTACTGCACAGGGGACAAACAATACCAAATTAGTAAAGCTCCTGTCCATGCTACCACTGCTGCCTTGTGCCAGGGTGATTCTGGTAGGTGCTTCAGGGCAAGGTTGGGGAGCCTGCAAAGGGCTGTGGCTGCCATGCTGCTGTCAGCATCCTAGCAGAGAGACCTTCCGTTCCCATTACAGCAAGTCCTGCCAGCTTCAAATAGACTCTATTTACATCCAGGGATGTAAAATGAAAAATTACACACTGTACTATAGCTGTTATTGTTGGGGGAAAAATTACCTTAGACCACATGAATGGCAATGGCAGAGCAGTAATTTAACCTTGTAACACTCACATGAAGCTGCTTGAAAAAAGAATCCTTTCATTTTTCTACAGCAGGAAGGAGCTTGCGGGGCATTCATTCCTTACTGCCTCCATTTCATTATCATGGCAATTCCCATCCAGTCTCCTACATTTGTTCTTATTCCCTTTGGGCAGGTGAACAGCTCTCTTACAAAACTTTATCGCTATCATCCTGTCATTTTCCATTGTAGTAGACTGGGTAGCAGTTCTCTATCTAGCTCCCTATCAACTTCATTAGCTAAGAATGTCAGATAAGCCTCGTATTCAGCAATATATATATAAAATGTGGCTTGGTGCAATATGAGGGCTTTCTCCAAAAATTGTTCTCTGCATGAGAACTGCATGCAAGACATGTGAGACTCCCCCAATAAACTTAAAACCCAGTATCTGATTCTTCCTATGCATTGCAGTCCAATACTGCCTTTCGCTATCCAGTCATTAATGCAATGCACATCATCTCACTAAAAGATGGGCTGATGGAAAAATTAGATAAAAGGTATGAGCACTATTGAAGGCAGCTCAATATCTGAATCATTTTGATGAGAACAAAGAGTGCTCATGACATTGCCTATTTTCCAAGATAAGTTAGGAACCAATATTTTAAAGTGAAGAAATATGCTATTTCTAACTTTCAGCATATTCACTCCGAGCTTTATTTTTTTTTAAATGCCAGGTATGAGCAGTAAGTCCTGTAGACTATTGAAGACACTATCTCCTAGGCTATAAACCTCCTTGGGGTAGGAATCTCTGTTTAATTTATGTCTGGTTCAGCACTGCACACACTCTAGGTGCTTAGCGAATAATAAACAAAATAAAAAAACAATTGTATTTGGACAGCCTAGAAAAATGGAGATGTGCACCGCAACGTGCATGCAAATGCAAGTGTCTGGAATCTGAAAGCAAGAACATAAAATGGGTCTCTGAATACTTAATGATTAAAAGCTGCAGATTTTGTGAAGTGAGATCATTCTTAGATGAAGCCCAACAATTCAAAACTGGGCTACTGGTGTTTTGTACTGACACAGGAGGAGGGTTGATTTGTGGCTTTGATATCTTCCCCCAGAATTAGCTCTGCATTCAGAGATGTGAATAGAAAGGAGGACTCTGGACACAACAGCAGCTCACCTGGCTCATTAAGGATTGATGCTGATAGATTCCAATTCCTGCTTCATCCAGATGGAAAAGGAGAAGTGGGGAAAATGAAATATCCTAAGGCTCCAAGAAGGATGCAAATGAAATGCCTCCATCCTTTTTCTTTTTTTTGTTTGAACACACCCACTCAAACACTCATCCAGGGCTTTTGGACTTAATTATTTAAAAGAATCTGATAAAGAACAACCACTCAGCATTAAACCATAATTAAATAAGAGTAGTCCTTCATGGAGACTGCCCTGATAGGGATGCCTTTATTTTAAAACTGAATGAGCTTCAACTTACAGGTCATCCACAGACTACAGCTATGGCAACAGACAATGCGAGGTGGTTGCCTGGGCAGGCAGGTCCCAGGTCATGTAGAGCCTTATAGAGTAAAACCATCAGCTTGAACTCTTTCCATAAAGCCATAAGGAGACAGAGCATTTAAATGATGGCATCATGAGCTGACAAATACAATGGTCTTATTTGGCACCAATTTATGAATGGATTTAATGTGCAGTCCCAGGCACAGCACATAGCAATAATCTAATCTTCAGACAACGAAGTAACATTAATAAGACCTGAATCCAAAATAACTGGTTGCAACCTCTAGCCAGGCTGAGATGGGAAAAGCCCTCATTGTCATTGCTATGCTGACCACTACTATCATCATTCAACAACACCCATATATGGTAGTCCAGTGACCACTGGCAGAGAAACACACTGAGATAAGCAAATATAATCTTTGCTGTACTTTCTAGTTTCTTTGACCTTATACTACTGCCATCACCCCAGTTCAATAAGCCATCCTGGATTTGGATAAAGAGCAATTGGAAAGAAATGGCTTCAGAGCACACCACGAAACAAAAAAACCTTAAGTATGCAAGAGAAAGGGAAACCTTCTTAATTTCTAGCAACGGCATACAAAATTTAGTCTATTATTTTAGAATTGCAAGTGTTTCAGTTGACATTCTTACAATGTAAGATATTTGATGGCAGCAAAGATCCTCATTTACCGACAGGATAACCCCTGGAGGGCTCTGCCCACATACTGGAAGACATTTCTAACTTACATCAGCATATAATGGCGTGTTCTTGGAGGAAAAAACCAAATGCCTGGGGACTGGATTTCTCCAGGGATCAGTGATGAGTGGCAAGATAGATATAGACTTTAACATCCACATACAAAGATATTGCCTGGTTTGAATCTATCCAATATCCCTGGTGACTGCAGGCTGCTGACAGGTGATACCTGTCATCAAATAAGTCAGTAGTGTCAGTCTAACATTTACCCTCCCAACACACTGGCTACTTCAGCTGCACCCATGCACAGGTGAATGTCTGCTGTATCAAGTAAGTAGGGCTGGAGCTAGACTACAGAAGCTAGACTGTAATGCACTTACAATCTATTTTCTGGGCTGCAGCTGGGGCACGGTAGACACTGGGCTTGTGGCAGAGCCAAAACTTGATATCCCCAGGGAGTAGGGGTCTGTGATCTCAGGACAGGAGGTTTTTAGTTTTTTGCCATAGGCCCCCAAACTGAGTGCCACTGCTGCAGAGATTAGCAACAGCTTCATTAGCTATGAAGCTATAGGTGACGATGGATTTATTTATATACTAGCCAACTGCCCGTCAGGAATGATGGGGGGGTGGGGATGGGCGTGGATGGAGTGCCGCTGCCTACCACCCCACGCTGCTGCCACCTCCCAAGAGCAAGGCGGGGAGGGAAGTTTGCCCCGCTGTCCCCTCCATCCCCCTCGGCCAGCACCCCGTGCTGCTGCTGCTTCCAAGGAGCAGGGCCAGGGGGATTGGACGCTCTCCTGCTCTGTCCCCTCTGACCCCACCGTCATGGCGGCACTCTGCTACCGCCACCTCCTGTCCGAAACGCTCTTGGAGCACTCTGATTGGTTGTTTCAGTCAGCATTATGATTGGCTGCTGAGACAACCAATCAGAGTGTGAATAAAGCATTACGAACAGACAGACTAAGGCTTTAATAATATTAGAATATTTGGAAAAGATAGAAACAAACCTTCTCCACTGAAGGGAAAAAGTTCCCATATCTCTGAAAGATTCAGGAGGCTAACAGGTGAAATTTACACTCCTGGAGGTCAAACACTCTTACTAATGCCGTGCATTTCTACAGCACCTTTCAGTAGAGACTCTCCAAGTGCCTTAACACCAATTAGCAAAGCCACACAAAAGCCCTGTATCGCAGGCAAGGATGATTTCCATTTTATAAATGAAAGAACTGATATAGGCTGCTAATGGTCTGATATTCAATAGCGCTCAGCCCCACAACTTCTGCAGACTGGGGAGATGCAGGTGTTCAGCACATCTGAACCTTTAAATCATCTAAATGACTTATCTGTGGCCACCCAGAAACTCTGCGACAAAGCCAGGAAAGGAGCCTAGGATTTACAATTCTCAAAAGTCAGTTTTATCCAGCAGACTTAGTGCTTCCAAATGTGAAAAAGGAAGGTGGGTGGGGGGAAGACGAGGGGAGACAGCACCGGCTCATGAGCTAAAACACACTTCCAATTTCATTCCTCATCCACAGCCTTTGTTATAAGCAATGCACTGTGCAAAGCACATTTGATACAAACATTGCCAGGGCTTAAGGAGGCCATTAACTAGTACTTCAGAGCACAAGATAATACCATCCAAATCCTACCCGCGTCCATTTTCTTCATTCCCAGTCTAAACTGTATTGTCTTTCCATCCAACATCTCAGAGAGGTATTTTGGATTCCAGCGCAGTGCTGGCCAATCAAAAGCCATGTTGCAGAAGACTGCAGGCTGTTGTAGAGACATCACGATTGCCTTGGCTTTCTCTGGAGTAAAAGGTTTGACATCTTCACCTATGGAAAGAAACAAACAGCTGTATGATTCACAATACAGGAACTGTTATCCATCATCTCCTCAAGTCCGGAAAACATAAATTACTAATATCTCCCTTGCTTTCCGGTTGATTTTTCCACTGCGCTTACAATATTTGTTCACATCAAATTTCTACTGAAAGTCCAGAGAGGTTAGTCTGTATATTAAATTTAAGTTTTAACATGCACATCGACCCCTAGAATACAAAAAATTTAGCATGTATTTATGATCTTGGATTCACTCATGCAGAATATGGTTTAAACCGTGTCTAATAATTAAGAGCTTTTTGATTAATGACCAGAAATTAGAATACAAAAAATAAGACAGTCTTTGGGTTCCTCCCAAGTACAAAGCATTGCCAGAGAGGGCAGAAACAGTGCTAAATGCATCCGATTTTAACCAGGAAATGAAACGTTCTTTGCAGTGTGAACACAACGGCAGAGATCTCAAAAGAGACGTTTTTAAAATTCTCTATACCCACAGGTTTTTAGAAAGACAAAACCTGTACCAATCCAAGGACTATGCTAATCCCAGATTTCAATTTAGCCCTTAGTTGTTTAGAGATTTATATGCCCCAGTGAAACTGTCAAGCTGAAATGTTGGCAACCTTGAATAAACTCAGCAGTTTTACAACAACTTCCCTTTAGGGACACATTGAGAGGGAAAACCTGTTTTTAAAAAAAAAGGTGTAACAGCTCCATAGAGCTGGAGCAGTGGACTACATCTCTAGATCATAAAAAATATCAATTCATTATTCTAACCTCTATTAAAGTTAACTCATCCAGAATTTGTACCCGCATAATGCCGAAGATTTAAAATGACTAATAAATCTGTTTTGTTCCCTGTGCCCCAGACCAGTTCCTTAACTGTTTGGGGGCCGAATCATGAATCAGCCACACTGGCATGAGTCAGTAAAGGATGATATACCCCTCCATATTCCCCTGTGCTAGTTTCACCCATCACAATGAAGTGTAGGAAGAGAGGTGAGATCTGTAGATCCTATTAGGTCCAGATATGTGGGTGGGCAAGACTTGGTTCTACACACTTTCTTTACATATGCAGCAACATAGAAGTGCCAGAGTGCCAGGAGCAGTACACAACACTAGATTTAGACTCGGCTCAGTGTAGAGCAGATGGAGAGGATCTCAAGGCTCATCTAGTCCAATCCCCAGCATAAAGGCAGGCTTTACTGTGCCTAAACCATCCCTGATGGATGCCTATCTAGCCTCTTCTTACAAACCTCCAGTAAAAGAGATTCCCATTATTTTTCCCCAAACAATGAAGTGCTCTGGCATTCATATTTGCATGTTTAACCTGAATCTATCTTCCTGTAGTTTAACTTCACTGCTTTTGTACAACCCTCAGCAGCTAGAGAAAACACCTGCTCACTGTCCTCTTTAGGGCAACCTTTCAAATGTTTGCAGACTTGTGTCACCCCTTGATGAGCTTTGTCTTAAATTAAGAACGTTCCCAGCTCTTCCAGCCTTTCTTGGTACAGCTTGCTCTCCAAACTCCTGATTACCTTCATTCCTCTCCTGCAAAAGTCACCGTCTCCTTATAATGCTGTTCCTGGGTGGCATGATACGCTTTCACTCTTGTTTCCAGGCAATGCTATGATTAAGTCAATGACTACAAAATATTTATTATTTACTACATATTTCTTCTGTGGTAGCACTCGAAGTCTCTAACCAGGGATGGATGGATGGATGGAGGGATGGATGGATGAAGTACTGTACTTGCATGTTAGCACAGTATTTGGCATACTAAGGAAAAAATCCCTTGCCCCAAAGAGTTTGTATCTGGAGCATAAAAACCAAGAGGCAATCTGTAATAGAAAAGCAAGCAGACAAGGGGAACACAAAGTAACACCATAGAAAAAACAGGCCCCACTCAACAATCCTGAGAGCATTCAGAAGTCTTTGGGATGCACCAGGGTTGCAAAGAAAGATGTGAAAGGAGGCAACTCCTATGCAGAAAGTGGGGCTTGAGAGGGGTAGAAATGTGCCTGATGGTCCCTTTGTCAATGGGCAATAAAGGCTTGAAGCAGTGAGGCTATACTACTGTATTTCCCAGGGTCTAAAGAGTACCTTGTCAGAAACATTGGTGCTGAATAATTGACCATAACTGAACCAAAGATAAAACACACATTTTGCACATTTTTCTTGGAGGCAGATAAAATTAACAAAGACCAACAGTCCTGGTCTTTGAGAGACATGAAGGATGTGCAGATCGATAAATGGAAGGGCAGCACAACAAAGACATAATTTCCAGTAAAAGATGGCATCTCCAGGAATGCGCTTATCAGAACTAAAAGCACAGACTGCATGATCTCCTGCATGAACCAAGTGCTAACTTCCAGCCATGAAAATTATGCTGCTGTGGGCAGTCAAGAGCACCACAACGGACTCAATCCTGGAAGGTGCAAAGCACTCTTGCCCAAATTGTAATTACTGGAGGCACTGAAACCAGTGAGACTCCTTATGTGCTTAAATTCCAGTATGCACTGGAGTACTTTGCTTGGTGGAGCCACAGGGCTCAGTGCCTTGCAGGATGAAGCTCTTTATAGATACTCTGTTCCCTCCCACCATTTGCTTCATTTGGAAACTTAAGTTTGTTTGTTTTTTCCCCTTTGACCAAAGCCACAACTCTTTTAGAAGAAGCAACAGCTCCAAGTCAATCAAATGAGCTACAGTATAGAACAAAGTCATCTGTGGATAAGAGGCTTCAAGCTACACAGACGTGGTGTAACATAGGCAAGATCTGATTTCATTAGTCACATGAAGCTGCCATAGGTTCAGATCTGACATGCATAGGAACAATGATCATTAAGGAAAGTTCTTCTGGAGTTTTTCCTACCGTAGTGGTTTAAAATAGCAAAAAAAACTTTATGTTTTGAAAGCATTTAACTGAAGAACCTAATACTCTGTATACTTAGCCTCTTTAGACAGCATTATTTTTGTTTGGAGAGAAACGAGGAGATTAATAAAGGGAAGAACAAAGAGCACATCTTTCTTGCAGCTGATTGCAGGCTTATGTTCAAATGCAAAACCTGCAGTTGGAAATAAAATGTGTATATTTGACAAGCAGAGTGGACACCTGCTCCCATTGAGACCTCACAGAAAGGAACTAAGGCTGGGATGTTCAAAGGAGTTGATGGGCACAAGGTCCAACTCCCATTAAGTCCCTTTGGTTCTCTTGAATATCCTAGTGCAGCAGCTTTATAACAGAGGCCTTCATTCCAGGCCTTCATTTTATAATATTCCAGCCACCTTTTTAAAAGTAGCTGGTATCCCTTAATTTATACTTACTGAACTTCCTTCTGCATGCAGAGCACCACAGAACCAACCCAGAACATGGTGTTGCTGTAAGACAGGGGGCATCAAACACTTGGCCTTCGGCCTTTTACTCTAATACATTTCAAACCAAGGTGTATGGAGGCCTTGCAGGGACCATTGATTTTGCCATGCGTTATACAAGGAAGGAATTTGTGGGTTACCAAGCAGGTTAATAAGCTGTCCATCAAGGAACGGAGGTAGGGCCACAACCAGGCTGCCTGTCTGACACTGCTCATAAGTCGCTGCTCACTGCTCAGTATGTCTGAGAGGACACCAGGTCAAAGACAAAAGGCAAGGCTCAGTCAAATTTTAGACCCTGCTAGAAGGATAAAGACAACTTAATTTTCCCACCCTAAATTGCTCCCTTCTAGTGTGATTTATGGTAATATAGTACAGAGTTAGCTGTTGATGACCTGACAGCTGTGCTGGTCATATTTGTCTTTCAGCTTTTCAAACATATAGTAAAATAAAATTACTCCTAGTTAGGCTAAGTTTATCACCACACAGCTGTTCTTTTGCCTGTTCTGCCATGAAGAAATCAGTAAGCCTAAAAAGCTTCAGTTTTAAAGGGGGGTGTGTGTGTGTGTGTGTGTGTGTGTATAATAATTATGTATATATGTGTGCGTGGGTGTATTATATATATATAGTGTGTGGGTGTGCGTGTATATATATATATATATAGTATGTGTGTATATTCTGCGTGTATAATAAGTATGTATATATAAGTGTGTGGGTATATTTTTAATAGATATATATAGTGTGTGTATACATAATAAGTGTGTATACACACACACACACGTGTATATATATGTGTGTGTGTCTTTTATATATATGTAAAATACACCCACCCACACTTATATATACATACTTATTATATACACACTATATATATATATATATACACACACACCTCCCCTTAAAACTGAAGTGTGTATATGTGTGTGTGTGTGTGTGTGTGTGTGTGTGTGTGTGTGTATGTATAAAAATAAAATATACCCACCCACACCCATATGTATATATATATCTATAAATATCTAGATATATCTATAGATATATATAGAGATATAGGTATATATACACCCCTGCAAACAAACTGGGGCAGTTTTCTTTCTTGAGGTATTTCTGAGAAGTGTATTCTAATGTCAGGTGAAGGTCAGGTGTGGAGATGCACCATAAAGGCTGTGGTAGAAAGGCTGATGATTTGGTGCATCTTGCTGCCATGATCTATGCACGTGCCCTGGGTTTTCGCGAGAGGTGACTTTTAAAACTCTGGATCAGGGCTGTCCAACTGGCAGCGTGTGGGCTGTGTAGACTTTCTACACTGCAGTGGCTTCAGAACCCAGGGGGCGAATGCCGCTGCTACGCACCCCGACAGCCCCTTGCCTGTCATCAAATTTGGGCCTTCAGGTACTGCTGGAAACTCAAATCAGGAGTAGGGGATAAGGGGGGCCAGTGATCGTGGTGTTTGAACCCTTGGGTTCGGGAGCTGTGCCAGTGCAGAGGCTCTGGCAGCTGCACTGACAAGGCACTGCCCTGCTGACAGTGGTGGGTTAGCAGCCCTGCAGTCCAGATCCAGCTTGTGGAGCTAAATAAGTTGGAGAGCTCGGATCTAGATGAATACGCATGCTTAGGATGCTTACAGCCTG